TAACGGCTCCATGTAAAGATGAGCTGCATGATCATTATTATTTTGTGTGTCGACAGTAATGAATACTGCACGACCAGTTGGCGCTCAGTAGGGCTAAAATAGTGTTTCCACTCGATAATGTTTTTATGAACTCTGCTGCTTGGGCATGTAGGGACTAGGACCAAATCATGCGTATGAAACTTATGGGTTTTATATACTTTTAAAAGTGCGGAACGTCATACAAAGGAAGATTAGTGGGAGAAAATATTTGAATTAGTGTTACAACATGTAAAGCATATGTTGCATATCTAAGAGAAATAAAGATTGCAAATTTAGTACCAAACAGAGAATTAAAGATTATAGACAACTTTTCATTCCACATGGAACAAATTACTTTTGGTTTTATGACCTGTAAAAAACATATCTCTCTTTCATCTATCTTTAATATTTAATTAGCTTATGGCTATTCATTTTATCATTCATCAAAACTAGAAATGGTCTTACGCGCACCAGCCTATCTAGAGTCTAAACTATTCAAAAACTACTTATTTATATACTACATATATGTTCACTGTATAATATTTATTTTGTAGACATTGTGATAAAGATTAATAACAATTTTGTAAAATCTATAAAAAACATTGGGGCGATCTCCCAAAGATAAATTAGATGAACCACTTGATTAGGATTTAATTTTGTAACCAGTGATTGATTTCGTCGCGTCTGCAAAGTCCGGTCAGCTTATTTGTCCGACCAGTATATGTATCTCATCTATTAAATGATTTTAATTGACATTGTACATTTTTTAATAGAAAACATATTTATATTACAATTTGCAAGACAATGTTTTCATATTAATGTATATATATTTATTGATTATTGTATCATTTAGAAAAATTTCAACTAGAAATTTTGCTAGACCCAACCGAAATTCTAACAACCAATTTTTAATATATTTTTTTCTGAGAAAACCATTTTTTAATATTTCTACCTTATTGATTTTTTTAGTCTCATTCTAATGCACACATTTAGCCTGAATCAAACAGAATGATCTTAAGTAAACATTTCTCGATATATGCTCCAAATGGTCTTACAGCATTCTTAAACCACTTGATTTTTTTTTTTAACTCATTTTCTATTTACTATGTTAGGTTTTTAAATCATTAGAACTACTTTTTTTATGGTCATAACTATGGCTTAGCCTGAATGGATTATCTCTATCTTTTCTGAAATGCATCGAGTGTACCAATAGTCTATTCGGGTGATCTCCCATTTTTGGCTTAAATTCCTTCAGCCAAACATTTCTTCTCAATCTGTCTTATATATTTGAAATCCCTTAAAGATTTGCTAAAGTCTTAGTAATCCATGCAAATCGATATGGATCCATCATTGAAATGTAATTTCCGTTTACACATTAAAATATTATTATATTTATTAGTATTGTAACATTTAAATGAAGAAGAAATATCTAAAACAAAAGGCGGTGTGTAGTAAAGTATACAAAGTATAGAATATACAAGCATAAAATCATTAGTAGTATAATTTCCACCTACATTAACCATGCGAGGTTAGCAGGCATAGAACTCAACGAGCTCGTGAACCGACTCGGGGCATGAATCGTCGGCGTCAGCGTTCTCAAGCATCCAAAGCAGATGCTCAAACAAGACAACCTCGCAAGACACAACGATCGAACCGTCCTCGCTGCCGCATCCACCATCCATAGCCGCTAGCTGCTGGAAGAGCGGATGGCTCACAACGTCAGAGCTCACGTGGTACTGACGCCGTGTTCTTCCGACGTAGACGGTGTGAAGGTCTTCTAAGGGAAATGCACTCACGGATGAGGAGTGACCGTGGTAGGCCGGAGTCGGTGGTTGGTGGTTCGGCTTGGTGTTGAACTTCTTGAAAACTGACTTCAGCTTCATCAGTTTGTTACCTCCTTTCATCATTGTCAGCTTGGTTTCGTGAACTGAAGCCGGAGATGTTCGTCGGAGTCAGTTTCCGGTTTGAGTGGGGGAGAGTATAGAGAGATGTTTATGTCAAACAAAGAAGAGAGAACTAGGGTTCTTATAATAAGCCGACAGGGGTAGATTCGTGATTTTTGCAACCGATGTGAATAGCAAACCGTAATTATATGTATATGTGTGTCCTAGAGTCGGAGGCAATTTATTCGAGAAAATATGATTATCAATTAGAAAGATAATGCAAGTGTCACATACGCTAAAAGTTTTTGGGTCTTTATATCAAAAACATGCATATATTATATACTCACATCACTCCAAAAGTTTTTGTTATGTCACATACATTAGCTAGAAGTGTTTTTTTTTGTTGAAAAAAATACGCTAGAAGTTCTTTGGTCTTTATATCAAAACACATGAATTTATATACCCACATCACTCCAAAAGCTTTTGTTATCACAGTCAAACCATATACATCATTGCTCCATAATGATTTACAACTTTGCTAATGTTTTTTTTTGGACTAAATTGCTAATGTCTTAAACTACATTGTGGTAAGGACGTTCGATTGTGTAGACTATAATTTTGCACGACTTTCTGTATAAGTGTTTCATTTTCATTAAATATTTTTCACTGGATTCATCGTATTTTTTATTTGATTTCTTTTTTTATATAAATATGAAATTGTTGATCTTTTATACTTTTTTTTGCTAGGAGAGCATCATATTTTTATTTGATTTCCTTATTTCTTGTTATAAACATTTCCTTCTATTAAAAAAACATTTTTCTTATATATAAAGTATTTTCATTTGGGAAAATAAATGTCAAATTATTAGTCATTGCTAAACAAGTGTCCGGGAGCAATATAAATGAAAAGTATAAACTTTACCTAATGATCACTTAATGATAATGTATTAATCCAACAACTAAAAGGAGATGGTTCATGAACTTTTTATAAAGCGCCTTTACGAGTTCTTATTTGTTAGGTATGTGATTGGCTAGCTAGTGTACTATCTAGACTATTTTTTCTCTCGAATATTATCATCCTATTTCTTACACATAACATGTTACAAAATATATGTATTAAATTGTAATTTCTTTGTCATTTTGTTGTGGTTAGACTAGACTCCGACATTATTCTTTTGGTGTGGTTTTTTATTGTTTACTTTGTATTGGCGACTACTGTTACAGCATGTGAGTTCCCGAAGATTTGTCTTTCATTTTTACAAAAAAAATGTTATCCTAATAGGCCGACATAAGAGAATCAGCTATCTTTTTAATCATGTAATAAAAATATTAATATTTAATTACACCACCTAATTTATCTACTTATAAATTAATGAAAATGTTTATCAAGCTTCTTATTGTGAACGATAGTATTAACTAGAATTGTGAACGATAGTAAGAACGATACTTATAAACTAATTTATCTAGTTATACAGATAGTATTAACTAGAATTGTGAACGAGAAAATGGCGGAAGAGTCCAAATAAAGATGGAAAAGAAGAGCAACCACTGCTAAGAACTTTATACTATAAATTAACTTTCTTGGAGAAAATTCAACTTCTTATTTTTTTTTGGCCCTCTTCACATGCCAAAGCAGCAAGCTATTGAATAAACGTTTCCTTTCTTAGAAATTTTGCAATTCAACAAAATAACAAAACAAATGAGATACAAGATAGCTAACTGTGTTTACGTATTATAGTTGTTCTTAAAAGTTAAACGGAAAATGGTCTTTAAATCACCGTTGTATGTAGAGAGTCTAGAGACAATCTTGTTTAGCCAAAAAAATTCTCATTTTTGTTGAAAGGGCAGGCTAAAACACTTCCATTGATAAAAACAAAGTTTGAAGAAATAACTTAAATAAATCATATTAATGGTGCAATTATCATTTTAATCATAGTTATCATATAAAACCGTAATTGCCAGTATTTGTAAATATGAATAGTTGGAAATCAGATTTATCTTGTGCAAATCAAATAGTTGAAGGATTTTTAGAGCAAATAGGCAAAAAACTGTAATTAATCAAAGAAATAGTTGAAAGATTTTTGTTGAAATTTAGCAGGCTAAAAAACTTCCATTGATACAAACAAAATTTGCAGAAATAACTTAAATAAATCATATTAATGGTGCAGCTATCATTTTTATCATAGTTATCGTATAAACTTTAATTGTCAGTATTTGTAAATATGAATAGTTGGGCATCAGATTTGTCTTGTGCAAATCAAATAATTGAATGATTTTTAGAGCTAATATGCAAAAATCTAGCTTAGAAATGAAAAAGGAGTGACCAAAGATTCTATAGGAATAATTTAGTACTAACAATTCAAAGCTTTTTCACAAGAAATAGAACAAAGAAATAAGTGAAAGCATGTAACAAAATGAATAGATATGTGTTCATAATTAATTTATTTTGCTTATGTTTCTCTTCTTGTTTTTTTTAACCTGGCGTCATATCAAAAGTTTTAGTATGTAATAATATTTACTCTGATAAATTTGACTGTTTTGTCTTCAATCTACTATTTTTAGTAGAAGATATCAAATCTGATCTCAAACTTCATTAAAGATATAATAGTCATATCAAACTTATATTAAACTAACATAGAAGTTTTAAAGGTCATTTTTATAAAAAGAAAATTACTTAGCTTTGGTTATTGATTTGCCTTAATCAAAAGGGAATACATACACATGTGTTCCCCACTTTTAAGTTTTAAGTGGTGCGTGGCCTCTGGATAAAAAACCAAACATGTGTGTTTGAGGAACCGTTTTTAAATTGTGACAAAAAAAGACCCATATAAAGTAAAACCTAAAGTAAAATAAATGCTTAATAAACCGAATTTATTTGTTTTTCATAATTTGTAATAACATAGTTGAATTTGTTCCCCTTACTTTAAAATAATATATCATCAAAAATATAGTCCGAAACCCAAAAATTCTCCCTGGATTATTATATATTCCTAAATAAGAATCTAGAATTACCATTTTTGTAAATCCAATATATGTTTCCATCACACGGCGGAGATACATGTAATAATGAAAATGATATGAATAATGGACTATATCATAATTAAGAAATAATTCTGACACCACCAGGGTTATAAAATTGAGAGATGCTTCAAATTTGTAATCATCACAAGAAATAATATACTCCAGTCTCTACCAACTTAGGTGATTTGATAATGTTATTTCACACATATATTATATAACATCGACATGTAAATCCTTCTCCTGATTACAAAGATTGTTGCACTGCACACAGCGCAGGCTCAAACATTCGATAGACCCTGGGACAGAAGTTTTAAATAGGCCCTCCAACATTATAAATACATGCAACTTACAAAATTGTTACTACGATTAAAATACTAAACAATAATGTTTAGCAAAAGGAAACACAAAAGAAAATAAATATTTAGCAACTGATGTCTCATAATGTAATCACCAGAATCATAAAAATACAGAATTTTTGTTGTGCTTCTTCTTCTTTTTCTAGCTTTTCGCCATCATTTGTTACTGGCTAAGGTTTTATACTTTGACATATTCTTGAGTCTGGAAAAACAAAGAAAACAGTAGTCATTTAAAAGAAAATAATCATAAGAAATGTTTTTTCGAACTTTACTTATGCAAAATCATGAATAATAATTTCAAAATCAATATCCTACACATGTGAGATATCGACCATCGTCAACTATACCAAACAGAAAGGACATGTGAATCAAGTTGGCTGTATTGACCTATGCGTCCCACCCACTTGCAAAGATTAATGACTACTCTTTTATTCGATATTTGACGTATTGTCCATTGATTCTGTTGCAATTGACACGAGCTTTAACATTAGTAGACAAGTAGTTGAATGAAGTTAAGTGTTTGCTTGCAATAATGGACTTTTTTTTACAAATGGAAAAGATAAGAAGTTACGAGATGGATATCATGGATTAATACAGCCATATATTTACAACAAACTTTAGATAGAAAGTCCAAAACAATGAAGGACCCTGTCAAATCTTTGTGCGTACAGACCGTTTCACTTACATAGGTTCCCCTGTCAAAGACAATATATGCCTATCAAAACAAATCGAATAATCTGAGAGCATTGCGATATGTGGTATGTATGACACAATACTTCCCGTGTGAAACCATCCTCCTGGGCGTTACAAACGATTTCACTAATGATATTCTCTTATGGCGACATTTCTGCGGTTGAATAGCTTGCAAGCAGTCACACGTAACGAGGAATTAACATGTGCTCTCTTGTTAATTTGTCGTAAAATTTACTAACAGAAAACAAACGATTTCATGAAGAAACTCTGAAATGAATTGAAAGAAGCACCACTAACATTTACAAGACGATGGGTTAATGACTTCAACAAGTTTCAATTACGTTGTTGCAGCTATCCTTCTTGAGCCATATTAAATACAACCCACCGCTTTTTTAGCCCGAGCTAACTTTACCCATGAGTTATGATGTTATATTCTGAAAAACAGCAAATGATAATGTAAAATTAAAAAACAAAATTATAGGGCCCAACCGGGTTCGAACCGGTGACCTATTGATCTGCAGTCAATTGCTCTACCACTGAGCTATGGACCCATGTTGTTGTTGTAAACTAAAGGTACATACATATAGGTTTTATTATTTATTTTCTCAAACCTTACATGGTTTAGTCAGTTATCTAAGGAAAATATTGATAGTTGAATGCATATATATTATGATGAGTAAGAACACAATTCTTAACAAGTAACCCTAATTTGATTTTATCCCCAATTTGTGATAAAGACCAAAACAACTTCATTTTTTTGAAGAAACTCAAACGACATCGTATTCTTATTTTTTTTAACCAACATTAAATGAGTAAACTAAACTGGATCAACCATGTCATAACCCAGTTAAAGGTTAAATAATATCGTTGTGGTTTTGTGAAAATTAGTTTAAAATCGATAGTCTGTATATTGAAAATTAAAAAAGAGTGAAATTTGTATGGTTTTTGACATGG